GGGGATTAATAAAGTATATATCTTATCTTATCCTATCTTTCGTTTGTCTGTCCTGGCTACTCCAAAAACATGGTGGCCTCCACGGAAGGCGACCAATCGCAACAAGCTCATTCTAAGGTAATGAAAACATAACGATATTCAGTTGATTATACACTAATGAAAACATACAACATACAAAACATTTCTGCCAGTGGATCCTATTAAATGTTACACACTGGACCTTTAACTGATTGACTTTCTTAAATCTCATGTAAATGAGACGCTGAATCCTGTATAAATGCATATAATTTACTCTACAAACCTTTTGTGAGAGTGCAAAACTAAAATGCCTGTCCTTATTTCAAAGCTTATTTATCCAGCCTGCTTTTATCCTCATGCTGACTTCAAGAGTCTTGGCCATCTATTAGGCATTTGCTGTCATGGAAATGACCTTTGTTAATGAATCTTTGAATTTTGGTTGACAATGTTTTTGTGTGATCTCTCCATATTATATGCCTCCAGTAGCGTGGCTGACATAATCCATTGAGGCCACACATAAAACAGTGTGCCATCTGCACCTGGAGCATGGCTATCAGCTCTGTTTTTTCCCCCCCTCACACTCCCTTTGCTTGAGCTTTCTCCTGCCTGTGTGTAGCCTGACCCTGCTCTTCCCGTTCCAGGCTACAGAAGCCAAACCAAAGGCAGCTTTCAAGGGGGACTGTCTGCTCAAATCAAGTCAGAGGCCTTTTTAGAATCGGTTCAGAGATCATAGCAAGTAGAAGTCAGGGAAGAGGATGACCCTCTCCTCGAGGCTTGATCGGATCTTGGCCCAGTCAAACCCAGCAGGGCTCAGTCTCTGGACAGCTTCGTCTCTGCAGGCTTTGACTCTGTGATAGTGTGAATGAAAGAGGGCACCAAGAGAGCAGCAGTTCTGATGTGTCAGGCTCAATGTCCTGGCAGTCTCGCAGAGCAAAGTGGGTAAAGCAAAGGACACAGCCAGCAGGCACAAGGCCAGAACAAGACCCCTATATTGTGTGACATGTCATCTAATGGCTGTCCTTTTGTTTTAAATTTATGCATTTAAGACACGTTGGGGCCAATGACATAGGTCACAATGTATAAGACAAATAGGCAAATGTAAACAGTCTCTTTAATAGCAGAAAAGAACATAATATTTAATTGTTCTAAAGTGTAATAGTATTAAAATTTTAACATGCTATTAAAAATATAATTACCTCTCCTGATAGACATGATTTATCATAAACCTCTCTTATTTCCATCAGTAATTAGGTTTTATTTGCTTTTAAGACCAGGTATTCAACAACACTTTCCTACATGAAAAAAGCAAATTATGATATTTTTTCTGCAGTCTCCTGCCTATTTTTTGCAATAGAACAACAATGTCAGAAAACTTTTGAATTCTGTTTACTGTAAACATGGCTACAGATTGGGATAGAGAGAGCTAGTTGGGTCTTGTTGACACACAGGATTATTCACCCTGTGTTTCTGACCCTTCTCTACTTGACTTGGGCTCCCCTCACTCCCACCTCCACAGATCTCAGCATTCATTAAGATTACGTATTTACTTTAAGCCCACCGCCTCTTTGCATAATGGCAAGCAGGTTCCCCGGCTGGCACAGTGTGTTTCAAGTGCTCGGTGAGGATAGGACTGAATTTTAAACACGATGTGTCTTGCCTCGAAGTTGACCTTGCACAAAAAGCCCAGTGATCTCATTCTTCGCTTCAGT